CTCCTCTGCGCTCGTTCTCGCTTTCTCTCTCTCGCCCCCTTTCCATTTCATCGTGTCAAAAATGTCTTCGCAAATCCAATCCAAATCGTATCCCAACAAAAAGGGAGCAACGATGACACTTTGTCAATGCCAATTTAATCCACGGAGAGCAAGGTGTATGTAATGCTGCGCGTGTTCCGGGAAGCTGTCCGATTGCATTTGGATTTGTGCAGATCTGGTACCTGTTCAGATAAAGAGAGAGGAAAATTACACACACCAGGCTCATTTTTCATAATGTACCTTTATTTTCTTCTTCTTCTTATGCATAATTTTAGAAACGTATCTTTGTGCGAGTTTTGATAGATTTGTTTTCCTGGAAGATATCGGAGCACTTGAGGGCATCGGTGTGGTGGAGGAGGAGGCGGCGGCTTCCCTCCCTGACTAACCTTGTATTTTGGGATGATAAGAGTAAGAGGTCTGAAGCGTGCGGCTCATCATTCAACACCTCACCAGTCATGAAACGGGCAGAGAATAAAAGCGCTGCCTCAAAACCAAGGTCCAACTCCCCATCAGGCTCGGATCCCCAAGGTTAGCCACACCATTGCGCTGTCACGTCAAGAAATAAAAAAAAAAGTACCCGCCTGGCTTTTTGTCCAACACAAAATCCTTTCGCTAATGCCTGCCAGAAAGTCCCAATAAACAATCTGTGAATATTTATAGACCATTAATAACCTATGTGTAAACCGCTAGTGTCACCAAACGGGTGAAGCGGATGATGGGGGAGAGGGAAGACTGCGAGAGCCTTAATGTCGACCGAGGCTATCCTGAAGGTAGATAAATGAGCCTCGGCGTCTCGGAATCGCGTGCGCGCGGGATCAGTTGCCAGGAATCCCAGACGGAGAGGTCTGTGATCTGCGCCGGTCCAAACTCCAGCAATATAATTGGCGAAATTGTGTGATGAATTGCAGCCATTTAGCTTTTCTTTTACTATCTGCAAGCTTCAGCAAGTTTCCTGACTAATGTACAGCCAGCTGGGTTTCTAAGGGTAGAGTTGGGAGAGGACTGGGGCGATGTTAAATATGTACAATTGGGCAAGTAATTAGATTAATAAGGCCCTAAATGAGCAGTGGACCAGGAACTGAAATCCAAAACTCCCCTCATCCTTTGAGAGACCAGAGCACAACTTATTGCAGGATCTGCTAAAAATTTAAATGGAACATTTAAAAAAGGTTCTTTTTTTGTTTTTTTGTGTTGTTTTCTCCTCTCTGGTTTTGAGTTCTCCACTGCTCGTCTCTCTGCTCCATCAGACTAAGAAAGGGATGTTCGACTCTCAAGCAATAATGAAGCAAAACCCGTGAAGATTTTCATAGTAAGAAGGAAAACAAGTCCTTTTAAAAATGTAATTTATCACTCGCTCGCTGCTCAAGTTTTGTGTAGGATCTTGTCTGGTTTTACTTATTTACAATATGTCATAGATTCCTTCAGTACTTTGGGCTTGTATTGACTGAAATGCATATAGAGTGTTTATGCTGAATGCAGAGATTTATTGCGATGGGGGGGCTGCAGTGTTTGTTGCAAATTGCTAAAGTTAAACTGCCAATGCTAAATAGTCTGTATTTAACCGGTGTCTGAACAGTTTGTTTTTTATTGAAACTTTTATTTTAGATTCAATACACAGAGAGTGATGCAGTTCAAAAAATGTGTTCTTATGAATCTGGCTTAGAGCTAATGAAGCCCAAAGTTCAGATTCAAAGACAAACTTAATACAATATCATCAATGCAGAAATTACATTTAATAGCCACATAATTGCAGACACAATCATAGGAAAGACATGATTTGACAGTTGTCCAGCAGTCACTGATATTGTCCACATGCAGTAAAAGTCACAAAGGATGATTGCTAAGTCGGCTGGTCAGATTGCTATATCAAAGCGTATTGATGGAAAGTCGGGTGGAAGGAAGAAGTGTGGTAGCCATGAGATATCATAGGGATCATTCCTTGCCCTAATTCAGAGAGACATCTTTCCTAGGCTAAAGAAATGAAGGACTGTACTTGCTCAGGTTCACAGTTTCACAGTCAATGATGATTTTAGGACCCATGTTTAGGGTCTTGGGTTGTTTTGAGTGGTTTTCAGTTCTCAGTTCTGATTTGTTTCCCTTTCTTATTCTGATTAGATCAGCCTGTTTCTGTTTTGCTTTGGTTCAGTCCTTTCTTAGTTACTCTAGTGTTTTACTATGTTTTATTTTTACAACAATCTTGTATCGAAGCAGGAGAGCAATGGGACAAATGGAGCCATGGCAGAATTTAGAAACATGAAAGTGCTCCAGTTCCTTGGGGTGCCCCAGGTTTTCTGTATGAACGCAGAACAATATATACGCGGACTAACATGGGGCGAGAGCGGCTGTCATCAAAGGCACCCCATACTTCCGCTCATTTCCCGTGTCCCCCCCTAACCTCCTCTCCGCCAGTCTTCTTACTTTTCAGAACTGACATGGATTAATTACATCGCGGCACAATTTACACCCCGCTGGAAGTGTGGCAGAGAATAAAGAATGGTTGAAATGTGAGCCCGGTGACACGACGTTACAATGCTAAATTGCTCCGTGTGCCGTCCGTGTTTCGCCTCTATTGCTTTTGCGGGGAGCGTGTTTACGAGGTCTGCCTTGGAGGTAAACACCAGGGCTATACACTTAAAAAAAAAAAAAAAAAAAAAAAAACTCCCTCGCTTTTATCAAGACAGCCACACTGTTTTATGTTCGCACTGGATCTTGAGCTATTTTTGGTTTTTCACATGCTGGAAACTGCTCTATCGCTTTATCTCCAAATTACAGCATGCATCAAGTAAAAGAAAAGAAAAAATCAAACATTTCAGATTTCTGCCTGTATTGCAAGTACTTATATGTGTGCTTATTGGTAAGGAAGCTCTAGAGGAAAGCTCATCTAGTGCCAGCATGGAGCTGCCTCAGAGGTGTCAGGAGCAACTGGCGAAGTGGGCTTCCTGCCAGCTCCCCTGGCTGCCCTGCCTATGAATGGTCCTTTTGTCAAAGGTGGCAGTGAGGACACTTCAACAGGCAGCAATTAACACCACCTAAAATTAGAACACATGACCAGTGCATCTGGTGCTTCAAAAAAAAAAAAAAAAAAAAAAAAATGTCTTTTTCTGAATACAAATCATTTAGGACATTAAAAACGAGCTCTATTGCTGACACGAATGTGATCTGAGCCGTGTAAATGGGGGCAATCGCATGTCGAAGGCCACAGGGCCAAAGCCCCTGGGTAGACTCACCGAGTTCAGTCAGGTGAACTAAGAGAAAGCAAGCGACAGACGCGAACGCAACTCTGTTTAAAGTGACCGCTGGATCAATGTGCTAAAAGACAGAGTCAAAGGTCAGACTGCTCGGTGGTTGCTCAGGGAATCACTGTGACAGACACCAAGATGGAAAAATGCTTTCTCTTTTCTTGTGACCACATGTATAGATTTATGTATATATATATTTTTTAAAAAATCCTTTTACAACTCTTGAGATTTCCCTATGAAGTGTTAAACATGGAGAATACAGACAAAACCAGTATAAAGGTGTAAAAATCTGACTAAACTTTTCCTGTGTTTTCGTCAGGATTATTAAAAATAATTGCACTTTAGTAAATGTTGGAAATTATCAAAATCCAATTTAACAACAAAACGTTAAATATGATGACCGTCAATTTGGAGATGGCAGATGATGTCATGGCTTTGTAAACTTCTGATTGGCGAATTCAATATGTCGAAGTTATTTGACACAACAGTTGAGATACATTTCAATGCAACTCAAAATGTGCTACCTACTTAACTCTACCTGCTGGTGTGAATTGATGGGGAACGTGAAAAACCAATAATGTTCTCAAGATTACACATAGAGAATTGTAGATTTCCATAAGTTTGGTTCATCGTCGGGAACAATTTCCAGATGTTTAAAAATGTGAGGTTTACATATGCACACAAATATATGCAGATATAAAAAGGACGACAATGTCCAGGTACGGACATGTTTAGGTGAAAAGTGTGTGCATAGAACAACAGCAAACGTGATAATGTTGAGTGAGATTGGTAAGAGAGTGTCATTGTCCACTGTGGATCCAGTCCTGTCCTGAAAAGCCTCTCTCAGAGGAAGCATATGTTACTCTAAAAGCAACATGAGAAGTCAAAATTCAGTTTGCAAATGCGCTCCGTGGCACAGCTTTAATATTTACAGAAATGTCCAGAGTCCAGAGGGCTGATGAAGCTGAAATTCAAATATTTGAACACTATGGCTGCCATTATTTTGTGGAAACAAGAGAAGCTTATAAACCTTAAACAAGCTTCACACCCAAAATGTGAAGAATTTGGAGTAATTGTAGATGTGGCATCATCATCGGATCACATTGATTTGAAAGAACTTCTTTTCTGACCAAGTTTAATTCAAAATGTGAAACAAAAATTAGGCAGTGGGGACAAATATGACCAATTTAAGATCTGGCAGTCTTGAATCGAGTAAAACTGAATCTTGAAATTGAATCCAAACATGATTTTTATTTTTATTTTTTTTTTTACAAAAGGTTTGGGAATCATTTATTTTATCATACATGTCATACATAATCAGTCGTATTGATACCTTATCTAGTGAAAGCCTTATGTTTTTCTGAGCTCAAATGAGAAAGATAGACTACTTCAGCTGAGTGGCAGTCCTCACCAAGAACAGCAGCACCGATTGCAGGCAAACAGAGAAGGGAACATTCGATCAATGAGATTCACATGCTAGGAAGACGAAACGGTAATCTTTTAACTTGTAGGAATTGCTGCATATTTGAGTCCTCGTCGTCTTCTGCTCTCTCTCTCGTTTTTTTATTGTTGCATTCTCTTTCATCATTTAGTCTTTGATTTTTCCCTTTCCTTTCCTAATTTCGTTCTCCATATGTCTGCAATCGTTTCCCTTATTCCTCTCCTCAGCAAGACTGATATAAAACTCCTTCATAAATTAACTGAATTATGTTTGTGTGGCAGGCAGCGAGACGCAGCTACAGTGCGAAATAAACAAGATGCCCGTGGAATTGAAAAGACGGACGCCTCTCCTGCTGTGCATTCAAATTGCTCTGTGCGTTCTGACAGGCCGCTGTCTCCAGCGCGTCTGGGATATCGGACGTTGTGGAAATGGTGTTTATTTCTGTCCGTTCGGTCTTGGGAAATCTTCAGGTTTGTCCGTAGCTTATCGTCCCCCTTCCTTTGCAGGTGCTATATCACGCAGCTGTGCAGCCACTATACTGCGACACTCCTACAACGCGCCAACCCTTGAGTCGTGCTTTGTTCTGTTTCGTTTTTGTTCCGCTCTTGCCGTAAAACAGTGGTTTGTTGTTGGCTTTTTTTGAATCATAATGGTGTTTAATAATATTTAAGTGCTCACCTGCTATATTTTTGTTTGTAAAGGTCAGCCAGTGAAATATTAAATCAAGTAACTATACAAAAAAATAAATAAATAACCAAGAGTCTTAATCTATCTCCTGTTTCGAATCGTGCTGCAGAAACACGGAATTGCCCCGCTTCGAACAGCCTCTATTATCCCCGGAATCGCCGGACGACAGAACAGGCAAGAAAAATGACCGGCGCGCTCTCCCTATTCCCCGGAGAAGTGAGTCCTACACATAGGGATGCGGCTATTACTTATCATCATCAAAAAGTGCTTGTTTGCTGATAATAAGGGCCTGGGATAGATATCTCAGCTAAAGCGAGGGAGGGAACTACCTGAAGTAGGAGCTGAGGAATCCTTCCCCTGCTTACTCCAGCACTTTCTGTCTTCCTGCAAAACGGAGGGCCAGCTCTAAGACCCGGCTTAGCCCTCAAACAGAGGAAGATAGGAAAACTTGCTATTAGCCACGGTTAAAAGGACAAAATAAGATAAAGAACGTACAAAAACAACTTCAAATGTGCTTACTGTGCAGGAGACAATCGCCACGGAATGTATGGGAAAGGCATACAAAAGCATGAGGTCGTGGAACATTGTTTTTAACTTGTCTGCAATGGCAAATGGTGAAGAAATAGGCACTGAAAGGCAAACTGGCACATCTTCAAAGCTGCAGTAGCTAGCATTTATAAAAAATTATGTTTTTTTTGTACATATTTGTTAAAGCTGTCACTATAATATGAAGGAGGACGGATAAGCTGTGAAAAAAAATCAAGCTTCTCTGTCTCCTCCCTGCGGTTCTACTGCCATATGCAGAAATGCATTGCTTCAGGTCAGAAACCAGCAATCAGAGCCAGGAGGAGGGTCTTAGCGCTGTCAATAATGCTTGTGAAGGCACTGCTCACACCCTCCCCTCTCCGCAACGCAACAGCAGCAACAAATTTAGAATCTTTTTTTCATGTGTTCTTGAAGACTCTAACACAAAAGCACATTTTGTTCTTACTCTATCAATGAGTGTGTGCTGCTGTGGGCTTCTCCCCCATCCCAAAGCACTAAAGAGGCAGCCCAGTCCTCATGCAGCAGTCCCATCCAGCTGCAGTGATGGTCCCTTTGCATCTACACTGCTCTGGGATTGCACATGTTATCGCTGGCTGATTCACTTACCTTCAGTGCAGGACGTAAACGCAAGGTTTTCTTGCATTTGCGTCCTACACGTCAGTTCAAAAACCTTTACTTATCCCTAGTTAAAGCACACGCTCAGCATGCATATGTAGGATTTGAACTCAGGAGCTATCATGCAGTCAACATGCAGGGAATGCTGCATTTCCTATTTGAGTCGCACTGGATTTTAACTTTATATCAGCTGACGCTATTAGTAAGAAAATTCTCAGCAGTAGTCCCTGCATCTTAATTACCTCCTTCTGCAAGCTCCGCACGTTCCTTGTTTTTTTTTTTTGTTTGTTTTTGTTTTTTATCTGTCGCCATTCAGCTATTTGAATTTGACACTGGGTTCATGACCACTTCAATTCACATCCCTCTATCTGATGATTCCGTCGCTCACACTCCTCTAATGTATTCTGAGGAGAGAGGGGATACATGTTGGCGAGAAAGAGGGGAAAAGAAAGCCCCACGTTTCATCTGATTGCGAGGTCTGCTGCGATGAATCATGCTGCTGTGGACATCTTTTGGTTTTATCAAAGAGTGCTTTCCACCTCCCCAGTGTGATTAATCAGAATGGGACTTTACTGTTGCCATAAAAAGTCCCTGTAAGACTCATTAAAGTGGGTGTTTATGCACTCTGCAGATGAAATTGAGAGCTGAGTATAATGGAACAATTTGTAAATCCCAATGATTTCAAAGTGCGAAGTCAATGTTGAGGAATAATTTTAGCAAGTTTGAAACAGATGAGAAAGCAGGGTTCATTATATATATATATATATATATATATATATATATATATATATATATATATATATGTATCCTTCTAGCCTTCACTTTTCCTCTTGCCTTCCCTTCCCTCCAATCATCCATCTGTCGTTCTTTCTTATTTTCCATCCTCCGTCCTTTGTCGCTCCTTTCCTTCTTCATGTCTTTCCTTCCTTTTCCTCTTCCTTTCTATCTTTTGATCCTCCAATATTACCTTTTTTAAACCTTCGTTTCTTCCCTTCTTCCTTCGTTCTCTTTCCGCCCTTCTTTGCTCGCTTCTTTTTCTGTCTTTTCTTCCATCCTTTGCTCCTGCCCTTTGTCTTTGTCTGCTTCTTTCTTTCCTTCCTCCTATCTGCTCATTTTCCCTTTTAGACGATCCTTAATTTTTCACTCCTTAGCTCCTCAATTTACTCCTTCCTTCATTGCTTCCTTCCTTGCTCTTGTTTTACTATTCATCCTTCATATTTTTCTTCCTACCTTTCTTCCTTACTTGCTTCTTCCTTTAACACCTTTATTCCTTCCCTCAATCCTTATTTTTTCCTTCCTGGTTTCCATCCTCCATTTATTCCTTCCTTCCTCCACCACATGCTTCCTTGATTCTTTCCTCTCACTCTCAAATTCTTAAGTTTTCCTCCTTGCTTTTCCTTTATTAAATAAATGTGCAGAAATCCCTGGAAAGATGAGGGGGGAATGATTCAAATTCCTTGAAATGGAAGAAAGAATTGTAAAACACTGATGGAAATTCCTTCCAAGCCGAGCTTTTCTGCTGCGTTTCGATTGTCCCACTAGTCAGAAGCACAAAGAAATACCTGTAGGACGGAAGGGACGAGGAGGAAGGAAAAAAAGAGAAAAATTGAATGAACGAAATAAATATCTACTTAAAAATAGCCTCTCAGCATGGCAAGGAGAGATTTGGAGATATTATCCTCAAAGGCTGCTGTGAGTGAGGCTGGCAGACAGGAAAGCTGTCTACAGTGAAATATGAAAAGCACATACTCCCTGACAGCCTATGGCTTTTCCTGATACTGCCAACACCAGCCCACTGGAGTGATCCATAGACCCTTTGTGGAAACTTGTGATATAAATGCTGAGGGCTAGATGTTAAAGATCCTTCGCTTGCTGCAGCCCCACCCTCCCTCCCTCGTCATCCTTTCCCCGTCGCCTCGCTCGCGCAGCATGGGAGGAATTTGTTATGTGTTCCCTCTCGTCCCGCTGCCTCAAAAAAATATCATAGGTACGGACGGAGAGAAAGTCGACTGACTTGTCCTTGTCCCTTTTCAATTTGACAAGGCAAGCAGCCTTGGGGACTTTCCAGTCTATTTTCAAATTGACCATTTATAATCAGTTTTCTAAAGGAGACAGAGAAAGGGGCGGAGGAGTCGGGCTCGGCCCTCAAACGCTGAGGACGGTTTAGAGCTGGGGGTTGGTGGACGATAATACAGCACCGTGTTGTCAGATGTGTCAGCAGGCGAGATGAATGCAGAATGGGGAGTGAATGCGTAAAGGAGAAAGCACAGCGGGGAACTGACCTATTCGAAAAAAGAACGGGAAGACGTCTATATCCTTAAGCATAGAGTGGCTTGCAAAAATATTCATGCCCCTTGAACTTTTTCATATTTTCTCACGTGACAACCACAAAGTTAAATGTAGTGATTGAGATATTAGGTTATAGACCAACACAATAGGATGCATAAATGTAAAGTAAAGAAAAATATACATCAAAATGTAAAATTTTGACAGTTATCATGCGGCATTGATCGATACCAACTTTAGGCATCTAGAGACAGCGATTTTTAACCATTGTCAATTGGATTGCATGGAGGTAATCTGTGAACAACAAATTTTATGTCTTGTTAAAGATTCTCAATTGGATTAAGATTTGGGCCAGATGGGATGATGTTTATCTCCTTCAAAATTAGATTGTAAAGCAGGTTTGATAACTGGAACCTTCTTTAAGCGTCTCCACAACATTATCCCTAATTCATGTTTTTCTTGGTCTTCGTGATGATGCTCGTTCACTCAGTGTTCACTATCACACATGCAGACGGAACAGCTAGATTCATCCGTATTACACAAAGTCAGACCTGCACAAAGTACCTCTCTATTCGGATTTCCATGTGTAAATAATATACCGAAAAGTTTGAATGCTTTTATAACCCACTGTATAAAGCCTCACGTTGAAATATGCAGCACCTTTCCATGAACCCAAAAGAGAGAGGGGGGGCAGAAAAAAAAAAGATGCACCAGTGGTAAGCTAAAAACCTTCACAGAAAGACGACACGACCGTTTGTCCATTTGTTGAAACCAATGTGGTTGCATACATCAGCACCTGCAAGGTCAGGCCAAGTCGGGCGTGCCGAGCACAGCGAGGGTCCCGTCCCCGGAGACGCTACGGTATTCTGTCACACTGCTTGCTCCATCACCACCACACGATGACATTTCCACAAGATAGCTCTTCTGAATTATGCGGCCCAGCGGAAGGGTAAGAAGAGAAAGGTGGACGGGGGAGTGAGCTCATTTTCTGGATGTCTGCTCCCGACCTAAAACCGCCACTTGTTTTCATCAGCGCCTTTTGCTGCTTATGCAAAGCGGCGTGAGGGGCAATAGGGGAACAATCAAGCCGGCCCACTGTTCTTATTCTGTGTGCCACGTTTGGCTTTCACTCTCTGAGCTGTAATGACAGAGTCACCTCTGCGCTGGCCCCCACCCACCCCATATTAATCCCAATTTGGCCATCGAGCAAAGGCCCCTTCAGAGGTGCAGGGGATGGGTAATTGACATTCTCAGGTGCATGAGTTTTGTTTATGTAGCAACAGTAAGCCAAGGCCTTTCACTTTGGATGACAAGCAGACCGAGTTTGCATACGCCGCTTGATTCGAGAGCTCTGCATGAGTGACTGCTCAGTCGCCCATGGCTCCATGGCATTTCAGCAGAGGACGTTCCGGTAAAGATCGCCTCGGGTGTCAAGTGGCTCGGAAGGTGCGGGAGGCAGCTGGAGGTCGTTTGTCCAGCACATTGATTCCATCGTGACCCCGTCGCTCTCTATAGCTATTGATCCATCCCCCTGGATCCCTGCATAATGCCCATTCCACATTGGGGACTAGGATCCCCGGCATCCATGTGGCCTTCGCTTAAAGAAAAGAGCGGCATTCTCAATAGGATGTCACACATCACTATAGGAAATGGGCATTGCTGTAATCACTTATCTCTAAGGTCATTGAGACAGAAGTCCATTTTGGTTATTGGGATTCTATGAAAGAAGGGTGAGAGGAGTTTATAAACAGAGGAGCGTACTTTCAGGGGGAATTGACAGTAAGTCATTATTGCTTCATGGGGTGTGTGTATGGACCATGGGGGTTTTGGCAGTCGTTTGTGGAATACCCTTCCCTAAATGTGTCGTGGGCTGATATCCCATGCCTTTTAGCATGTCACCCAGGCCCATGAATCACTATTTCAGCACGAACATTTTTACCTGGGAACCTCGCAGACTTTTTCATTAGAGTAAAAGGGAACCTAGGCAGGGACAGGGTTGCAAAAGAGATCGGCTGTGAGAGGAGAGGGAGGGTCAGGGGGTTTGGGGAGAGTAGGTTAATTACAATAACAATGGGGAGGCCAAAAAATAGAGAAGGGAGGAGGAGGAGAGAGGGAGAGAAGGCGAGGGGGGGGGGAACTGGAACTGGAGTCATGGCAGGGCTGAGCTGTTCTCATTTGTTTCAATAAGCTAAATTGATTCTTATGTCCTTTGGTTCCATTTGCATCGCATCCATTTTGTGCACACTACTGGTCCCAGTCTCCTCCCCTTCTATTCAGTTCGTATGTGGAGGGCACAACAGCTTCGACGGTCTGGCATTGATTTTCCAGAACACCAGACTCAAAAAAACAACAAAAAAACAAGCAGACAGATCCACACAGTTCAAATGTTACATATACATTCTATTTTGCCGGATTCTTAAAAACACAGAACACGCATCACAACTTCAGAGAGGCATTTCAAACTTTAAAATTTGGACCCCTCCCATAATTAAATATACACTTCTTACCATTGTTCCCATTTCACCAGTTGGGTGCTTTTTAAAAAGAATCTAATTTCTTTTGGTGAGCTTTTTCATAAGACAACCCAGTACAGGACAGACTTATGATCATCCAAGTATTGATTTTATATAGCAGTGGTGAATTGTTAATACACTTAGCAGTACTTTTACACGGCCTATTTGCAGTTCAGTATTTGTATATTTTCCTTTGGAGCATGACTCCAAATTATTCACAGAAAATCTGCCCATTTGCTGATTGTTTTCGGAAAGCCATTTCTAAAATATTCAAATAAAATGGAGCTTGTGAAGCTGAAATATCCGGGACAATATTCCTTGACATGATATTGATAAAGCAGCCAATCCGAGAACGCCATTTTTGTTTCCCCCCAGGTGCTGACTGACTGTACCTCAACGGCCAAGATAAGGAAAACTAAAGATGTTGGCTTTTGTGATTGTGCCAAGATGGTTTCCACTCTGCATACCAATACATATTAAGGTTTATTTGATGTTTGAACTATTAAATTAGGCTGTTACAAGGACTTTTAGAAGGTTTCCCAGGTGTTCACAGATTTTAGCTATTTGCAGGTGACTGGTGAACACCAGGGATATGCTTTATTTTGGTTCTTCCATCTCTTGGTGGAAAAGTTGCTAAGCCACTGTTTTAGGTCTCATGGAAATACGACATGCGGTATATCTATTCTGGTGTTATTGTAATGCTGTTCATGTAACAATTGATCTATCAGGTCAAGACTGCTGTCCTTGTGATGCTCAGTGACTCCAGTGTGGCTCACAGCCATGGTCAGTGAACACGGCTAACCAAGCCCACAGTCAGGGTAGTATCTTTCTTCCCTCTCCTCCTCTTTGGTGTAACACACTCGTCTGCTTTTAGCGCACACGCCCCTCCGTTCTCCACTCTGGTCATCAGTCACCGTCGGGCCAGATAGGAGCAGCCGTCAGGCGTTTGAGTGACGACTGGATCCGTTACCTGAATGCCTGCATGACAATGGGCCTTGTGCTTAGAGAGAAGCTGCAACTCCAAAACACGCACAGATGATGCAACGTTCTGGCAGCTCTTCGTTGTTTGCTGTCCAGGTAGCTGTAAACAACTGAGGTAAAGATGGTTCGTGCAGCGCACCTGCCCTGGCAACATGTAGCTGAATGCTGTATACCTGCCTCTACACGAGCAGCAAAAACTTTCACCTGTAATGTTTTGACATTGAAAACACACACAAGAACTATAATATGTGCACCCCTTCAGCTTTTTCACTCTTTGTTGCCTTACAGCCATGAACCGGAGCGTATTGTGTTGGGTTTATGTGCAACAGACCGCCGCAAAGCAGAGTGAAAATAAAAAGACTTTATGGCTTTCAAAATCATTTACACATAAGATTCTAAAAAAAATGTGGCATGCTTTTGTCCTCAGATATCTAAACACAATCCAGTGCAAGCAATTGGCACAAAGCGAATATGCCGTGCTTACGATATTTCATAAAGTACTATTCAATTCATCATCCACAAATGGAAATGGCTCCCCCAAAACTATTCAGTTTAACGTTTGTCAAAGGTCATGAGGAGGACGCGGCCAACAATTATAAAGGAGGAAAGTGCTCTCGGTAGAGGAAACTAGTGCGTATGTTTTGGGCAAACGTTTAAAACCCTGCGAGTGGAAGAAAACTACCGTGATACATCACCCTAAACACACTATCTCCTCTCTGAGGTGGGCTGCTTTTCCCCAGCAGGGATGAGGATAAAGTCAAGAGTTGATGGGAATATTGATGGAGCTAAATACGGGGCAAACCTGGAAGAAAACCTACTAGAGGCAGCAAATATACACAAAACTGTTGCGGATGTTTACCTTCAAGCAAGACAAAAACCCCAAACAATGCAGCCAGAGCTACGATGGAATGGTTTAGATTAAATCACATTCACGTGTGTCAAATTCCAGACCTGCATCCAATAGAGAATGTGAGGCAAGACTTTAAAGATGAATACAAATACATGCAACCATTTGCAGGTTTCGTACTGTCACAAATGTTGAAAACCATGCATTGTCTGATTTGCACTTCTTGGCTTTGCGTTCGTCCACCAGGTATTACTTCCTATTGTCGCCACAGCTCCAAAATATAGTATTTAATTCATACTTGAATAGGTAAAATGTATCACAAACGCACCATCTAATTAGAAAATAACCTAGTTGTACGTTTGCAATGTGCCTCATCCAAGCAAATCCGGAATAGCTTTGAGCTGTTTGAAAAAGCCAAGTCTAAACACATCCTTTAATCTTGAGAACAGGTGGTGGATGGCTGCAGACCTGGAGGTACTGACCCTCGGACGCTTCATTTGTGAGTTTATACAGCAAATGTTGCTCTCAGGATACTGTTATGCATTCTAAGCACACCAGAGGATTTACAACAATGAAAGTCTTCCCAAAAGGCACCAAAATGCACAAATTATTTCATAAGTTCCCTTGAACTGGAGCTGATCTGCTATTTGTTACCTCAAGCACTTGGCAAAACACAAGAAAATAGGTGCAGCCCTTAGACTCGAAAAGGCTTTACTGCTAATGTCTCCCACTAGTGCAGTGCTGTCTGACTGAGAAACATCATCACAACAAAACTGAAAATACCTTGATCCAATTAGAAACGCAGGCTTATTTGGTCGAGTATGAATGCTTAAATCAGTGATACCAGCAGGTAATTATCAAATTTCCCCCCAACCCGCTCCCCCCACCCCTGCAGAGTGTTTGTATGGCTCTGACTGAGCGCAGCAGGTCGGTCTTGTGTTTGAACACCAGCGGATGATGATTATGCTAATTTAACAATTCCAAAGCACTATTGTACGTCGCGGACTTTTGTTGCAGACCCGTTGACCTTATTAACCTTCTTAATCCTCAGCTGAGTTTTCACGATAAGGGACTTTGAACCACACATAGAAGCATTCGCAGACTTCAGAAGCCCCGTCCTGCACACCTGAGATTCTCTGCACAGTATCAACAGAAGCCCTGAAGTAATCCGAGACAATTAACACCACCTAAGATCAACAGTGGGGCGGGGAAGCAAGTGGATAGTGACGCTTGGAGCAAGGGGTTCTCCCAGTGTGGGCACATGAGAAATCAGGTCTGATTGGTATTAAGTGGTAAGATTAAAAAGCCAATCTTACAGGTCAGGTCAGCCAGCGTTCATTTGAATGCGTTACCAGCTTCTGAGTCTAGATAATTCTCTCATTAGTGCCACTCACACCCTGAGTGACAACACGGGTGAGGAAGGAGCATGTCTTACAACACTTTGAGTTAATTAGTCCACACACTCTGTTGTTCCCTCTCCCATGCCGCTGCTCTAAGCTCATCTTCTTTAAATGGCCTTAACTTGAAGCCTTTTTAATTTTTAAATTTTTTTAAAGGAACCACTTGTTGTTTGAGGGGGACCTTAAAAATGAGCTTGTTTCAAGAACAAGCTCCATTCACCACAGTGATGAGCCCTCCTCGTAATGTGAAAGGCCTTTAGGTAAATGCGTTGTTTTTTTGCAGGAGAATGATTTCATACTGAGGTATTTCTCTCATGATTCTTTAAGTTTAGAGCCATCTCCAGCACTTCCTGTTTCTGAAGTAGAATTAAAACCATGTGACACAGAGGATCATTACTTTTAGCCACTCTTCAAAATGGGAAAGACACTGGTTGTTCAGGAGGCATGCGATGGGGGG